AGTTATGCACATTAATTCAACTTCGTTTTCTATGTGGGTTTCATCGTGGTAATTGTTATCTGTAATGTCCTTAAAACTTAACAACATTCTTTCAGAACGTGGAGAATAGAATGCCTCAGCAATGGTAAAGATTGTACCATTGGACAACATTATACGTGTCTTACTGTATCCTTTTGTCAGGTTGGATGGGCCTGAAAGGGTTGTCAGAAGTGCATTCTTAGGTATGAAGTTAATGAAATAGATGCATTCGCGGAAAACTGTGTGCATGGTTGCACTATCTACCAGACAACTAACTTCCCCATCAGTCATACCTATAATGAAAAATTAATTTGAATCGGTCACATGCATAAAAGTTCTAAAAACAAATATCAATTCAAAATATTTTCATTTATTCAAAGATGGTAATTAATTAAAACTTAATATCCAAAAACAAATCACCAACAAATAATCCAAACATAAAGGAAAATTGTTCAAAAATCAACCAAAAAACAAAGGGGGTTCGGCCACTAGGTGGAATTTGGCCCCATTGTGCAATTTTAACTAACTAAAATTGTTTATGTCTAAGATTCTAATCTTCCATAGGGGTGGTATCCTCTTGAAAGTCAGAAACCTCCATCTTTGTAGTCTCCGGTTTGTCCACTTGCACGAAGTTTAATTCAAACTTCTTACGACAAGAATGATATTCATCTACAAACTTCTTGGGAGCTCTGCAAACATGGGACTAATGGTCTTTTGAACCACAACGATAACACACCGCATCCATGGCTTCAGGTGCTTTTCCCTTATTATTAAAGTTCGGGGCATTGTGAGTGAGGTTTGAGCGCTTCTGGGCTTTGTTTCCTCCCTTGGATGGGTCTTGACTCTGTTGACCTTCGCGGGGTGGCTTCTAGCTGCCCCTACCACGCATCTTTTGGCATTTTGGGCTTTGATTTGTGCTATAAGGTGCTTCAAGCACATCAGTCGCCCCAGTAGGTCGAGCTTGATGATTCTTCATCAACATCTGGTTCTGCTGTTTAGCGATAAGTAAAACAGAGATCAAATTTGAGAACTTAGGGGACTTCTTAGCTCTATATTATTACTGCAGGACAATATTAGAAGCAGAGAAAGTCGAATAGGTCTTCTCTAGGAGATCCATTTCGGTCAAAGTTTCGTTACAAAACTTGAGAAGTGAGATAGGATTCGACAAACTTTAGAATTATATTCATTCACAGACTTAAAGTCTTTGAAGCGCAGATGCTGCCAATCATGTCTTGCTTCAGGCAAGAATATGTTTTTTTGATGATCAAAACGATTAGCCAAAGCGATACATAGTGCATGTGGATCATCCTCAGCAAGGTATTCAGTTTGCAAGACGTCATGGATATGTCTTCAGATGAATATCATAGCATTGGCTTTTTCAGCCTTGCCAACAGGGTTGTCTGTCTCTTCTTCAATGGCGGGACTCAAGTTCTTTGCAGTGAGGTAGAGCTTCACATCTTGTACCCACTTGAGGTAGTTCCCTCCAGAAACCTCTAAAGCGGTGAAGTGGAGTTTGTTCAAATTCAACATGTTCCTATCACAAAATAGATGGACAAGATGTGGTTAGTGTAATGGATAAAAAATCAATCCATTCACATAGGAGTAGAACATACAGGTTCTAATAGACATGTATTAGTTTAATTTTGCATGAAAAAACTTTGGGTTTTCATGGGTGATGTTTTTAAATGAAAACTTCAGGTTTTTAAACAATGCATGTTTTTAAGAAACTTCAGGTTTCAAAATATTTATGAACTTCAAGTTCATATATTGGCTTCAGAGGATAGTGAATTTTCGTTTGTGCATTGCAAAATATAACTGGCACCACGTATGGCCTTCAGACATATTTGGGCAGGGCTTGGGGGAGCAGCCCCCAACGTGGTGCTTGCCTACACCGACATGGCTAATATTGTCCACACCCTGAACGTGAATTGTTAGCAAATTCTTTCTCATTGTTTTCCCCAGTTTTTGTAAATTAGGGCTTTATTATTCTTGGAATCCATTTAAGTCAATTTTATTTATGTGGTTTTTTGCAGCAATTTGTTTTATGGACAGTACAACAATTGGGGTCGAGGGTCAAATATAACCAGTCAAGCTTGCTACACCAGAAAGCTAAGCGGTGCAGAGGCAAAACCTTTCATCGCCTTGGCTATATTCAGGGTTCCAATTGGCTTCTTCCTCATCAAAGTTCTAGGTCTAGACACAGTAGTTTTGTTTGAAAATATATAGGAAATTATTTTTTACCTATTTAGGTGAAGTTAACAGAGCAAGCCTATGTATCGGTGTTCTTAAAAGGCTTGCCTAGGGCTGCTTAGGCGCTAGGCACCACGATTAATTCTTAGACATTTAAAAAATAATAAAGGATGCCTAGACTTACCTAGGCATCCGCTTAGATTGTGACTCTCATAAAGGAAAAAAATAGATAACTTTCATTTTGAATTTTATTTTTTCAATAAGTTGTAAAAAACTTGTTGGATACTTGAATAAACACTCATTACATGTTTGTTCCCAATGTTTTCAATATGCTCTAGTACTTTATAATTTAATGTCAGTTTATTTTGCAATTTAATATATTAGAATACAATTATGTATATTTTTTTAAGTATAAGTCATTTATTTATATGTTATATTAAATTTAGTTAAAATTGAAAAAGTCTCCCTAAGCGCTAAGCTCCTACTCATTGTTCAACTAGCGCCTAGCACATTTTAGAGCCTTAATATATATTAAGTTACAAACCAAAAGCAAAACATAGTTTATAAGCAAAAAAGTGCACGCAACCAAAATAAAGCTTAAGTAAGCTCATCCCCTTTCGCCCCTTTCGCCCCTTCCCTTTGTTGATGAATGACCCGTTGCTGTTGATGGTGGACCCCTTCCTCTTGTTGATAATCGAACCCTCATTCCTCTTGGTGTAGATGCTCTTGAAATGGGTGGTCGCGAAGGTAGCAATGGGTGGCGTTGAACTTGAGGTGGTGGAGGAGGTGACATTTTACTTTGTGTGAGATTCTCCTCACCTCCCAAATTAGGCAACTCTAAAACAATAAAAACAATAAAACACAAAATATATTTAGAAAGTGAATGTATAAATTATACAACTATAAATAATGAATATTAAGAAAATACAAACATGAAATCAAATACTTCCCTTACCCTTCTCCAAGTCTTCAAGTTCCTTGTAGAACATGAGGTTGTCGATTGTAGGCTCCTTGTAGAAGGACATTTCATTCCCCCTTGGCCAAATACTTGGACACTTCAAATACAAGTATAAACCGCAGCCACCTTGTGCCTATTTGGAAGCTTGTACTTTGGATTCAAGTCATGGATCCAATCTCTAAAGTCCACTTGATCAACCGCCCTAAAAGGCATCTCCGCTTTTATTATCCATTTCACACATTTCATATCAAGTCTTTTTTTATTGAAAGTGTGAGTGACAACTTGACCCCCCATCATCCTTTGTGACAACAATGGTTGTTTCGAATAAACATAAACATAATCAAACACATCAATTTCACTGATTCATTCACATAAACATAATCAAACACTGCAATTTCACTGATTTATTCACATAAACATAAACATAATCAAACACAAACACATAAACATGATCAAACATTGATTGAAGGTCCTATTTCCACCATCCCCTATAATTTTATTCTACAAATTCGTGCACCCACCCTCCTAAAGGCATGCAGGCCATGCACTGCACCCACCCTAATATGAAACCCACAATCCTCAAACCCTCAAACATTCGACAAAATACTCAGAAATTAAGTTAATCAACATGAATTTTGACCCTAAATCCTAAAGAACAAAAACCCAGTGAAAATCAAAAACCCTTACCTGGATTTTGGGACTCGATTGGTGTCGGATTCGCGTCTTCCTGCGTCTCTGTGTGTGTGGCCGGATGAGCACCGTTGAAGTGGATGGAGGAGCGGCGTGACTTGATGAAGGAGCAACGTGACTCGATGGAGGAGCGGCAGGAGCAGCGTTCAAACTAGTTTTTCGAGAGAGTGAGCAGCTGAGAGAGAGTCTGAGGAAGTGAGAGGAATACAAAAGACCTAACTCACAATGGATGCTTGGATTAGATCTTAACCAATCCAACGGTCCAAGTAATTTCTAATTAAAAATTAAAAATAAATAAATAAATAAATTTATATTTATAATATTCGGTTCGGTTCGGGATTACCGAACACTTTCAAAGATGTGACCGAATCCCAAACCAAAACTTTCGGGATAGGTTCGGTTTTGGGTACTGAATTTTTTGGAAAATTCGGTTCGGGCATTTTTCGGTCAAATTTTTGGACGGATTCAGGATGGTTCGAGATTTTTGGGAAAAAATTTCACCCCTAGTTTGAATAGCATTGCAAAATTCTACGACGAGGTGAACACGTTCACATTTATATTATAAGCTCTGACATCAATGGCAAGTCTCTCCAGGTCAATTTCATAGAAGGGCACATGACACGCATAAATATTAAAACCCTTCAAATTTTTAAGCACACTGCACGTCAATTTTAATTTGGAGCCTATTACCCGTCAATTTTTTATACAGCATGTGACATTACTAATTTCCTATTTCCACATTGCTGAATGGAATAAGATAAGGGTGCGCAGGCAGTTGCATTGTAGATATTCGAGAATAGTATGTAGTTACTAGTAAAAAAAACACTTTGCACGACGTACGTGCATTCGTCGCGCAAAGTCAAAAATCGTTGCGCAAGGGTTTGCGCGACGCAACCTTGGTCGTGCGCTAACCGTCGCGCCAAGACAGTGACGCTAGGGTTTGCGCGACGCGCTTCCTACATCGTGCAAAATCACTTTGCGCAATGCACGTCCTACGTCGTGCAAAGATACTTTGCGCAACACATATCCTAGGGCGTGCGTCGCGCAAACCTTTTTTTTATTTAGTGAAAAATAATTTTTTTTGTTTTAGTGAAATTTTTATTTTTTTTTGATAAATATTGTAATTAAATTCTAAAGAATAATGAATTAACCAAGCAAAAGTATTTAATTATAAAATATATGAAAATGTACATACAAGATGTTCGAACAAAAAAAGAAAAAACTACAAGTGAACTAGGTTTAATACATCAGGCTACTGGGTATCGGCAGAGCGAGGTGGCTCTGAGGTCAAAGGTGAAACAAGATGAGGTGCTGGTAGCGAGATTTTGAGGCCGGACATCTGTATGGCTTGTACAAGGTCTCTCACCATCCCGGCATAGGTCCTCATCTCCTCGCCCTGGGCCCTCAGCTGCGCCCTCATCTGCTCTTCCTGGATCACAAGCTGACCTTTTAGGGAACAAAGAGAACAAAGAAGGTTTTACCTCATTCAAAAGAAAATCTGAATCATACTGGCTAATTGAACACAATTGGTTCGTATGTCTTGATTTTGAACTAAGGGACAGAGCAACATCAGGATGAAGCAGAGTTTCAATGAACAGAAGCATTAAGATAAGTGTTTGCAAAAAAAACAAAAAACATTGACATCGTAAATGCATATATGAAAAGGTAAATGGAGAAAATTCATTTTATGACTACAAATAGTTGCTTTCATATGCAGATGTATGCATGCCAACTGTCCATGGGATGCCGATTCCTAAAGGAAATAGTAGTTCTGATAGATAGCCACTATTGGGCATTTGGATGGAAAACAAATAAAATGCTGAAGCACATCGTTGAAAGGTGAACGTTTCAAACAGATTATATGCGATTTTCTGGATAGAGAATCAGCAGCTATCTCAAGAACTCATGACTGCTATATGATATGGTTTATAGGTTGACCTAAGAACTAGACATTCATAGCTAGTTTGATTCCATACATCATGATCAAACAACGGTGAACATGAATAACAGTATGATACCTATAATTGAAGTTCTTCACAACAAAGTATAGCTTATTGGCTAAAATAGTCCACCTGCATCCGAGAGCTTATTGGCTAAAATAGTCCACCTGCATCCGTGCTCGCATTACGTTCCTAGTAATGAGATGACTGTGATTCTCTAATCATAGAACAATAAACCCCATTGCATATATATTCTGAACTCAATCATGTTTTCAATAATGATTCTTTTGAGTCACCATTTAGTTAAATTACACAAATCATTCATTTCTGTTTCTAAATGAAGCCTTACGTTCACAACAATTAGGAACATCTGACAACTTATTGGATCAATAACTCTAACACTAAAGTTGCAGGGAAGAAAGCTTTCTCCTTTTTTTAATTCGTTTTTATATTTCAAAACGACAACTCTCTTTCTAGATTATGCAAATACTAAAAGCATAAAACATGGCCAGAAGAAGTTGCTGCAGTTCCAACAAGGTAGTATTCAAAGTGTGAAACTGTGTGTATGGGAAAGAGGGCGGGTGTTCGTGTTCAAGCTTGAGATAGAGAGACACATAGCAAAAAAAAGTCCAAACTTAAGACAACCAATCAAACTTAAAAGAAACCAACTTCTACAAATGAAATATTAATGAATTTCCATGAGTCATGCTTTCAGGGAAAGGGTAAAACATTAAGCTGTCCAGATGAAAGCTTGATTAGTTAAAGTGACCAGAAATTCATAACTGATTTAGTGAGTACCACCAATTAGTGATAATAACATATACACCGTAAACCATTAGAAGAAGATGCACCTCTAACCAAAGGAAGAGCAGTTATATGAGAAAACAAAGACCAAGAAGCTGACCAAGAATAACAACAACATCCATCGTTTCAGCAGCGACAATAGTAAAAGTATCATCCATTTTCCCTTTTCCCTTTTCGTCTACAATATGGGATTAACTAATGAAATTTAATTTTTTAAAAAAACGCTTAAATTACATAGTATTTACCTGCTGGTAAAGAGATGTGAAGTGCTTTGCAAGTCGAACTGCAAATTCCTCCACTGAAAGTGCCTTTACATATACATGTGTTGCAACTAGGATAAATCCCAAAGGCGAATAGCAATCAAAATGATGGAAACATAGCAGATTTCTAGTACTGGGAAAGCTATCAAACATAGATGTCTAATTGTCTACATACATTTTTTTCTTTTGTGACAGTAGGACATTGTATTTCGTATCATCGTGTTAACTGGAACTTGAGTCCATAAGCAGTCACGTTAGTTGCTAAGTTCTTTAATCACTCCTGCATTCTTTTCCTTTATGCGTCTTTTATTTTTATGGATTGAATTGAGGAACCAATTTCTTCGCCCGTAGTTTCAACCGATATTTTTGCCATTTGGTGCAAAAATATGAACTTGTAAGAATACGAAATTTGTGAAGAAGCAGACCAACCCACCACCCTAAAATTCGATTTAACACTAAAACCCTAACATTCCTAACCCTAAAATTCGATTTAACACTAAAACCCCCAATTTCTAATTTAATTTCCCAAATTGAATCTAATTACAATACCAAAATCTTCAAATTAAGGCATTAAAGCTTGATTCTGAACTTAGAAAGAAGAAAATTAAAGAATTAAGCTTGATTCTGACTTGGGTCTATACCTGCTGTGCAGTCGGGAGAGGATGATGAGATGAGGAGGAAGTCGATATGAGTGAGAGGGAAGAGAGATACCGAGTGAGCGAGAGGGAGAGAGAGGGTGATTCACCTGCGTGAGAGGATGAGGGAGACCGAGTGAAAAGAAAGAGTTCAATGAGAAGAGAGAGTTCGGGTTTATCACAGATAGCGAAAATTTAAACAAAGCGCCTATTTTTAACAAGGGTACCGCCAAAATTATCACACATAGCGCGACGCTTGTTTACCTTTCCACGTCGCGCAAAGGGTGTTTGCGCGACGACTACACAGTGGCGTCACGCAAGGTATTTAAAAAAAAAAATATTATAAAATGTATTGAAAATGTGATTTTACTCCTTTCAAATTCAATTTTTTTTTTACATAAAACCCACAATAATATATTTTTATAACAATTACAATAAATATAAAGCTACTTAATAAATATATATATTTTTCAATTTCTTAAATGTTATACGTACAAAATAAATAAATTTAAATTTACGTAATATATATACACATACCATTAAAATTGATGGGATACGCATTGTGCGAAAATAGTTTGAACGATCCAACCGTCAAACTTGTTTGTATATACTTCGAAATCGCATATGCCAAAAATTGCAAAAAACAAACATTCGAAGATCAAGTAACGAGACAAAACTTTCCGACGGTTATAAACGAAAATCATGATTTAGCAATAGTTTTAACTCCGATTTTAATGATTTTTTATAGCTACACTTCTTGATCCTATATGAATACAATGAACTAATTCGATCGTCAATTTAAAATATTTACACAAGTGGATACCACAAAATCTTTATGTTATACTTAATGAAAGTATAAATAAACTCTAAGTGTTAGTGAATCTATTGTTTTGATGGGATACGCATTCTACGAAGCTAATTTCAAGGATCCAACCGTCAAACTTGTTTGCATATACTTCGAGATCGTATACGCCAAAAATTGTGAAAAATAAACATGCAAAGATCAAGAAAGGGATAAAACTTTTGGACGGCTATAAACGAAAAAGCACGATTTAACGGTAGTTTTAATTCCGATTTTGATGATTTTTTATAGATACACTCCTGGATCCTATATGAATACAATGAACTAATTCGATCTTCAATTTAAAATATTTACACAAGTGGATACCACAAAATCTTAAGTTATATTTAATGAAAGTATAACAAGTGTTAGTTAATCTATTGTTTTGATGGAATACGCATTGTACAAAACTAGTTTCAACGATCCAATCGTCAAACTTGTTTGTATATGTTTTGAGATCGCATAGGCAAAAAATCGCAAAAAACAAACATTCAGAGATTATGTAACGGGACAAACATTTTCGACGGCTATAAACGAAAAATCACGATTTAACGGTTATTTTAACTCTGATTTTGATGATTTTTTACAGCTACACTCTTTAAATCTATATGAATACAATGAACTAATTCGATCGTGAATTTAAAACATTTACACAAGTGGATACCACAAAAGAAAAAGGCAATGCAAGAACCCCAAAAGAAAAGCAAAAGGAAAAAAAAAACTTTGTGCAACGTAGGTACAACTGCGTCATGCAAAGTTGGGAAAAAGCGGTTAATCTTTCTTGGTTTGGCGCCAAAACTTTGCGCGACGTCAGTCTTCGTCGCGCAAAGTGCAGTCGCGCAAAGGCCATTTGCGCGACGTTTTGTTTTTGGCATCTCACAAACAGACTTTGCGCGATGAAATTTGATGCGTCACGCAAGTTTCCATTGTGCAAACATGTTTTTCTACTAGCGCGCTCACCGCAACAATCACTTGAGTGCTTAGACGGGTGACCACTCAAGTGACGTTGTGAAAATTGGATTTTTTGCCTGTTTGTTCAGGTTTGTTCGGAAGCTCACAATTAGCAGTGGCATGGAAATCTTGCACTGGCATTGGCATGGAAATCGTGCATTGACACTGGCATGGAAATCTTGTACTGGCACTGGAATTGGAATCTTGCATGGCACTGGCATTGGAATCTTGAACTAGCATTGGCATTTGAAATCTTGCACTTGTATAGATGAAATTTGTATTGAAATTAGCATCAGAAGTTAGCATAACAGAGCTTGCATCTACATCGTCGGTTGGCAAACTCATGTCATGTACCGCCATGAGTTTGACGATGGGTGTAGGAAAATATTAGTATTTATTTTTATTTTAATGTTTGAGTTTTGCTTATTAGTTTATGAATTGGGCCTAGCCCATCCGAGTTGGGGTTTCTTAGGTGTTCTCTATAAATATAGCTTGTAATTTAGTTTGAGAAATAAGTTAGTCAAGATCTAGCATCTTCGGTTCATGTAGCTTTCTTGGCAATTCCGTTTAATAAAGTTTTATATTTAGTTAGTTCGTTTGTTCGTTGCGTACTCTGATATTCAAATTAGCATCGATGAAATTTGTATTGAAATTAGCATTGGAATCTTGCATGGCACTGGCATTGGAATCTTGCACTAGCATTGGCATTTGAAATCTTACACTTGCATCGATGAAATTTGTATTGAAATTAGCATCGGAAGTTAGCATAACAGAGCTTGCATCGATCGTCGGTTGGCAAACTCATGTCATGTACCGCCATGAGTTTGACCGGGGGGTGTTGGAAAATATTAGTATTTATGTTTATTTTAATGTTTGAGTTTTGCTTATTAGTTTATGAATTGGGTCTAGCCCATCCGAGTTGGGGTTTCTTAGGTGTTCTCTATAAATATAGCTTGTAATTTAGCTTGAGAAATAAGTTAGTCAAGATGTAGCATCTTCGGTTCATGTAGCCTTCTTGGCAATTCCATTTAATAAAATTTTATATTCAGTTTATTCGTTTGTTCGTTGCGTACTCTGATATTCAACTAAATATCTCTACTTAGTATGGAATTGATGGCCCGTGAGAAATTGTTCTATCTGAACGTCACATTGCTACGTAGAGTTTACATAATCAACTTATATTATATTATATAACAAGTTTTTTATTTGTTAATGTTATATATTAAGAAGTATAAGTAACCCATATTATACTTTCGATCCTCTGCTCATTAATTATATATGGTGCTGAACATTGAGATACATGTCGTAGAATGGAATTTGACAGTGATGACGGCACAACAAAGGAACACGGCTTCAGAGGATAGTGAATTTTCGTTTGTGCATTGCAAAATATAACTGGCATCACGTATGGCCGTCGGACATATTTGGGCAGAGCTTGGGGGAGCAGCCCCCAACGTGGTGCTTGCCTACACCGACATGGCTAATATTGTCCACACCCTGAACGTGAATTGTTAGCAAATTTTTTCTCATTGTTTTCCCCAGTTTTTGTAAATTAAGGCTTTATTATTCTTGGAATCCATTTAAGTCAATTTGATTTATGTGGTTTTTTTTGCAGCAATTTGTTTTATGGACGGTACAACAATTGGGGTCGAGGGTCAAATATAACCAGTCAAGCTCGCTACACCAGAAAGCTAAGCGATGCAGAGGCAAAACCTTCCATCAGGATGTTCGGGATTTTCGGGAAAAAATTCCACCCCTAGTTTGAATAGCATTGCAAAATTCTACAACGAGGTGAACATGTTCACATTTATATTATAGGCTCTGACATCAATGGCAAGTCTCTCCAGGTCAATTTCATAGAATGACACATGACACGCTTGAATGTTAAAACCCTTCAAATTTTTTAGCACACTGCACGTCAATTTTAATTTGGAGCCTATTACCCGTCAATTTTTTCTACAGCATGTGACATTCCTAATTTCCTTTTTCCACATTGCTGATTGCGCCGCTAAGAGAGGAACAAGAACTCAAGAAGTCATCTCGCACATTTTATCTTCAACGTGAATACATACAGCAATTGAACAGGTAATAGTCTTGCGTACACAATGCCGGCAGAAAGATTTTTGAAAAATGGTTAGCTAAAATGATTAGGAAGTGAATTTTAAATTGGTGAATTGATTAATATAAAATATCAACGACACAGTAATTAAATATTCAAATATCGACAACATAACAATTGAGATTTAAAAACTGATCATTTTCTCAAGATTCATGGCTGGTACCCAATGGCGGAGCCAGTATTTTCAAATAATGGGACCATAATACCAACCAAAAAAGCTTTATCGGGTCATTTCGTCCAACGCCTAATTATTTGTTGAGGCTTGTCGAGACTGGATGTAAGATAGTGTAGAGTAAATGTTGAAAACTGCAAAAGACTTGTCAACTAAAGAAAAACAAGAAGAGAGAAAAGAAAAACAAATATGATAGAAGAAAATAGAGGAAGTAGAAGATGAGGTTGTAATTTAGTTTGTCTTCTATGTTTATAAAAGTCAAATACAATATACAAACAAATATACATGAAGTTTGTGAAGTTTGTTGGAATCAAAAGCAACCAATAGTCTCGTGCTGGCTGTTGTTACTTAACTCATGCAGGATGAGAAAAATATACTACATTTAGTAAACTTTTCCAAAAATCATGCATTTTTAATAATAAAACAAGAGAGATTATATTCACACATCAAATTACTTCTCCCACACTCTTTTTAATTTTTAAATATTTTTCTATTGGTGTGTAGAAAATATTAAAAAATTTTAAAAAATGTGGAAGAAGTAATATGAGAAGTGTGAATATAATTTCTCTAAAACAAAAGAGTCACAGTCGGTACTCAGACACAAGTGGGTGATTTATGACTCCATCTATAAAAAGGGGTTGTATCTACTGCTAAAATGCACAAGAGCAGCAAAGAAGGAACTCAAACAATAAAGGAAAAATATCAGGGAAAATCATGAGGGCAGCAGGCTCATTCTCAGTGGCCGTGATCATATGCTTGTTATGGTGTGGTGTTTGGGAGGTGGCTCCGATGGCGAAGGCGAACACGTCGCCGAGCCAGTGTAAGCAGGAAGTGGGCCGTCTCCGTGATGAATGCAGGAGCGCTATACTTCCAGGACGTAATCCTTCTGCGCTCTGCTGCCAAATTGTTAGGGCTGCTCATGTTGAGTGTGTGTGCCCTTATGTCACCCCCAAGGTGGCCAATTTGATCCCCGTCGGACGTACAATTAAGCAGATTGAAGGTTGTGGAAGAAGTGTCCCTCGCAACTTCAAGTGTGGGAGTGAGTTCTCTCCACGTCTAAACTCTATATCTGATCCATATTAACTAATTAATTTAAATTATATTAAGTATTTTATTTGCTTAATAAATCTTTCTCCTTTGATTTTCTTTTGCAGGCATCACCACCCCGCCATGAGCATCAATCCCACAAGAATAAGTATACTTAAAGAATAAAACGTCTCCTTTTATTAGCTAGCTTTCTTGCTAGCTAAATGATGGATAAACTTACATGCAATTTAAATTGTGAAGGGATTTATGTACCTATGCTTATGTAATAGAGAGTGGGACGGAGGGATACAGATATGTATTACTTTTAAAAATCATTTGATAATTATTTTGTTTTAAGTTTTTATTAGTAATAATGTGGGTCAAATTCGTTTTTGGCGAAAATAGAATCTAACACCTCTCACTTGCAATCGAATCCAAGACCCCTTACTTACAATTGTTCATATTTACAATTGAAAACCTTGATAGACTTGTGGTTTGAACTTTGATACGAGTATATACAAAACAACAAAACAAAAGGAAAATTTTATTTGAACTCAATAGTTTTATCTCTACACCCAATATTTTTGATATATTTTATATTCCAATTCTATCTTGAAAGAATTGGGTGTAAAGAGAAAATTGGTAAATTACCTACCTACCACCGAACCCAACCCAATCGATTTTATTCCAATCGGAAAAATGGATTAGGCTTATTATATTAACACCTCATATATTATTGAATACACCTCACATACTTAATACATCACACATTTAATTTTTTAATTAAAATGTATCTTGACACATCCCACATACTTTCTCATAATACCTTCACACCCCAACTCTCAACATGTACATTAAATTCCCTATATGCACCCCACACTCTTCACATATCTTAAGTGCAAATACATAAGATCATCGAAAGATCTTATTTGTTTCTTCGAATAGGGATTTCTATGGTGTTTCTCCTCCCTTTCAAATAATAGAGATATAAATTTGAGAATCCATCATTAACAAAAGAAAAAAAATGAGAATCCATCACTTTGTAGCAAAAAGGGATCTAGAAATGCATAACATAATGGTCATGCATTAACTTCATAACTACTATTTATGGATTGCTTCATAGTTTTCCATAAGCTAGCCTACTCCTTGATAATGAAAAAACCATGAAAAGTTCGGCAAAAAGCTACAGAAAACTACTATAATATTCGGCATGAGATTGCCTAAACCTTTTAAAATTTGCTACTACCCTCCATTGATTGAATTGATCGTATAAAAAGACATAATTTAACAGGGTAAATTGTTACATCTAAAGAAGGTGAGAGTGGTTTTCAAAGTTGAAGAAGATAATTAATCTTATGATATACATGTTAAAAGTAATTTGAGGTGTACTTAAGTTTTTTTTAATTTTATTTTTAAAACTTTATAAGGCCAAAATTATCATTTTATATTAAGGTATATAAATCATTTAATATTAAATTTTAAGTGAAGTATATTCAATAGGCTAAATAGTCAAAATGGTCCCTAAGATTTGCATAACACATCACTTTGGTCCCTGAGATTGAAAATCAATAGAAATTGTCCCTGAGATTGTCCATCATCCATCATTTTGGTCATTCCGTTAAAACTCTTTGGGTAATTTTCAAAGCTTCGTAACTCAATCATTTCTTAACCAAATTCGACCCATAATATATCAAAATAAAGATAGGAAAGTGTAGAACAATATTATACCTATTTGCAAGCCCAATGGTTACCGGAGATGGCAAGAAAATAGCCTCAAAGGTGACTGGTCTGTGGGAAAACTGAAAAACTCGCAGAAAACTGAGGAAACTTTAAACGTTCATAACTTCTTCAATAATCAACGAAATCGAGTGATTCAAAAACGAAAATCATACTTGTAGACGAGAAAAAGAGAATGGTTTCTTTCTCAATGGCTAACTTGCCGTGGTTTGGCCGGAAAATGGATCACAAGTGGTTAACTTAAATTTCCTCAATTTCAGACCTAAGAAACGTAGAGATTTGTGTGTTTTGCAGGTATGAGAGTGGCGTACAGGATGAAAAGCGAAGTAGGAGCTGGTGATGAAGTCAAGCGTGCCAGTGATTACGGCTAGCAGAAGCTTCCGCTATGGGTCAAGCTTGTTAGAGGCAAAGCATCTCTCTAGGAGCTTCACTTCGTCTTGGGTTAGCCTCTTTTTGTTGTGTTGGTATTGCTTTTTGTGGTTTGAAAAGTGGAAAAAATACATGATTTGGTTGATCTTGCTAGCTAGCTGAAGAGTTGTATGATAAGCTTGGAGGTATTTGAGCTGATTTCAGTTAAATATTATGTCCTCTAATTTGTAAGTGTTGAAAACCTGAGTGAGACAGAGTTCATGCCCCTGTGGTTTTTCACGTGGGATGTAACCATACCTCTGTACTTCTGCAATTTTAAAATATTTTTTATATATGACTTTTAAGTTTTTGTTAATTAATTCTTTTTAATCAAATAATATATGCATTAATTCCCCTTCCATATTTCTAGTGTTCTAGAACTTTTAGTTTGTGTGTAATGTTTGAATTGATCGTATAAAAAGACATAATCTAACCTACATTGTTATTTGTTTATATTCTTTGATCAGGAGCTGCTTATCAGTATTACTACAACTTTATATTGTTGGGTATTTACGGACTTGTCATTGCCGTGACCATCAGTACCGGTATGGTTATCTAGCTTGTTGCCGATCTCTCTACCGGTATGGCTATCGGCATTGTCGATGATGCCGGTGTTAGGTAATATCTCTTTCTCTTGGAAAGGATTGGCCTTACTCTTGCTAGGTGTTGATATCATATATCTTCAATTGTTTCTTACCTTAAGTTTTGCACTTGCACCTTTGATCACTTAATTAACAACATATATTAGAGTCATGATATGATGGCCATTTTTCAAGTGAACATTTTCAATATCATTTTAAAAGTATATTATTTCAAATAATGCATTGAAATTTTATACTTTGAATTGTATTCTCCAAATCGTAAATCAGAGTGAAGCTGCACAAGGAGTTCAATCTTCAAACACTTGGACTTGGTGGCTTATGTGCTTAGTTTGCAGATATATTTTGAAGAGCTTTTGCATCCCATGTATTCCCTCCTCACATGACAAATAAGATAACTGATTCTTCTAGTTGCACTGATATCTTTTTGGTATATCTTTATGCTACACTCCTTATTGGAAAGACTTTGATCTTCCAGATTAGGGATCAAGCATGTAAAGGGTATGCTACTTTATGGGCCACCTGGTACTGGAAAAACTCTCATGGCTCGTCAAATTGGAAAGATGTGAACGGGAAAGAACCAAAGGGTTGGAGTTTGATCCACCTTTTTCTTTAATAATCAAATTTCTGAGAGTTGCAATTCTCTTAGGACTAAGAATTTGTTTTGTTCATTTGCATGATTACTTTTTTATGTTTCAGCTGTAATTTCAAATAAGACTTACCAATTGATGACACATGAAATTGAGATGAACTTAAGAACTCGGTACTCATTGTCGCAATCTTGTATTCTTATTTTTTTCATAACAGGCTTAGGTAATGAATCGATTAAGTTCTACCATGCCGAATCATGATTTATCACATTATACCTTTTGACGGTAGTACGTTATTTTAAGGTTCCAAAGCTATTTGAGCCTGTCTGATGGTCTTGGATATGCAACTTATCCTTATGTATGTTAGTTATTATTTGCATTGGTGATTGATGAGATTTCTATTTTTGTGAACTGTGCTTCCAATATTGTGGGATTTGTTGATTTTATGATAACTTTGAATATTTGTTTTATTCCAATTTTTTTTTACATTGTTTATTATAGAACCTATTGGGCACGATTGAAAGTTGTGCGCAAATGCTTGTCACATGGTTGTCAGAAGTAAGGCACAAATAGGTGTTTAACTACTATGAGCACAAATAGCAATTTTGTGCCTTATCACCAAAAAAACATGTCCATAGAGAGCACATATAACATTTTAGTTGCTGCATTCACTAGTACAAAAAAAGCTTTAGGCGACGTAGGACCTTCGTCGCGCAAAGTCAAAAAAACGTCGCGCAAAACGTAGGACAAGGAACCCGCGTCGCGCACCGACCATCGCGTCAAGGCAGTGAAGGAAGGGTTTGCGCGACGCAGAAGTGAGTTTGCGCGACGCAGAAGTGACCTACGTCGCGCAAAACCACTTCGCGCGACGTAGGCCTTCGTCGAGCAAAACCACTTAGCGCGACGTAAACCTTCGTCGCTCAAAACCACTTAGCACGACGTAGGTCTATGTCGCGCAAAACCACTTCGCGCGACGTAAACCTTCGTCGCGCAAAACCACTTAGCACGACGTAAACCTTCGTCGCTAAAAACCACTTAGCACGACGTAGGTCTATGTCGCGCAAAACCACTTCGCGCGACGTAAACCTTCGTCGCGCAAAACCACTTAGCACGACGTAGGTCTATGTCGCGCAAAACCACTTCGTGCGACGTAAACCTTCGTCGCGCAAAACCACTTAGTGCGACGTAGGTCTACGTCGCGCAAAACCACTTCGGGCGACGAAGGTTTACGACGCGCGAAGTGCTTTTGCGCGACATAGACCTACGTCGTGCAATTTTTTATTTTTATTTTTTGGGGCAAAGAAATTTTTTATTTAATTTTTAATAAATATTGTAATTAAATTCTAAACAATAATTAATAAACCAAGAAAAAGTATTTAATTATACAATATATGAAAATGTACATACAAGATGTCCGAACAAAAAAGAAAAACTACAGGTCTTTAGGTTTAATACATCATTCTACTAGGTATCGACTGGGCGAAGTGGCTAAGAAGTCGAAGGTGGAGCAAGATTAGGTTCTGGCATCGGGATTTGGAGGCCAGACATCGCTAAGGCCTGAACAATCATATTCATCCTCTCGTTCTGGGCCACAAGCTGACCTCTTAGGGTTGTCACTTCCTCCTTCAGGGAATTGACCTCTACTGTGGACGATCTGGAAGAAGATGCACCCATCTCACGAACCCCCGCCTTCCCCATACACCGAACAACCTTGCCATGACGACGACCCAACTTCTGATCCAGGACCTCAGTCACGATCTTAAGATCTGCATCCTCAGGTACAATGACGTCCTCAATCGGGGTCTCTGGTGGAAGCTGCGATGTTGCTTCTTGGAGAATAGCAGTGCTATTTTCCACCATATCGCCCTGTAATAATAAAGAAAAAACATATAATGTTTAATAACAAAATATAAATAATATTTGAACAATTCATAAAAATAAGAATAATAACAATTACATATACTTACAAGAAGCTGCTCAGGGATCTCTTTGCCGGGTCGAACGTAAACGTCCTTGAACAAGTCAATTTGTGGGAACTTAGAACCCTCCTGAAGAAAAAAACATAAAGAAAATTTTATTAATCAATAATAAAAAATAAATTGTATAAAATTTAAAAATTAATATACTTTTACCTGACGTCGTGCCTCAAGCCTATACGAAAAAGGCTTCGAACCGGAATGGTGGAGAAGTGTCTTTGAGTCCCGAGCTTTCTTGCCAGCAACAGATTTCTTCTGTTAATCATACAATAAATGTAAGTGCGACTATTTGAAATAAATTATTAAAAAAAGCTTAAAAAAATAACAAACAGTAAATTATTATTAAAGTATTATGTACATACTACAAATTTTGGGTCCGTAAAATGTTTGCAGAGCCACTCCCAATCCTCCAGCCAGTCCTTCAACTCAGCTGGGTAACCCTGTAGATGAGCAATCTCCGGATCATCCCATAGCTGAAAATGCTTGTGAAAAGCGTACTTCCAATCTTTGTACCGGTTTGCTAAGGTCTCCTCTAAGTAGGCACTGACCTCAGGGGATATGTCCTTAAGATCAAAATTGACCTACAAATATGAAAAACAATAAAATAAATTTAATAATATTTGTAAACAAAAAAAAAATGATAAAGGCTAAAAATTAATATACTAACCATCAACTTGTCTCGCACCAGTTCCTTTGTCTCCTCAGGAATTTGTGCCCAACTCGTCCACTGCATAGGACAACAATACCGAATAACAAAACCACAGCTATTAACGACGCTGCTATGCTGCTGTGAGGTAGCCGCTCCACGATGTCGCGAGTCATACGCAATCTTGATCAAGGAGGCGGACAAACGTACAGCATGTGCCTCCTTCAGCATTCGATTGGGCCCCCTGGTGTTTTTTTAGCTGCCCAAAAAAACTTAAATGGTAAAAACCCTAAGCTTAAATTTGTACAGAAAATTCGGCAAAACCTCCCCTAATCATAAAAGTACCTTAAAACAGTAATTAACAACCCACAACACATTTTCACAATCATAAAAGTAATAGTTTTAAAATGAAAAAAAAAATACAACGTAGTGAGAATTAGAAAAAAAACTACCTTCAGAGATCAAGTAACGGGACAAAAATTTTCGACGGTTATAAACGAAAAATCATGATTTAACGGTTATTTTAACTCCGATTTTGATGATTTTTTACAGCTACACTCCTGGATCCTATATGAATACAAGGAATTGATTCGATCGTCAATTTAAAATATTTATACAAGTGGATACCACAAATCTTCTGTTACAATTAATGAAGGTATAAATAAACTCTAAGTGTTAGTGAATGTATCGTTTTGATAGGAAACGCATTGTACGAAACTAATTTCAACGATCCAACCGTCAAACTTGTTTTTATACGCTTCGAGATTGTGTACGCCAAAAATCGCAAATAACAAACATTCAAAGATCAAGTAACGGGACAAAACTTTTCGACGGTTATAAACGAAAAATCACGATTTAACGGTAGTTTTAACTCCGATTTTGATGATTTTTTACAGCTACACTCCTTGATCCTATATGAATACAATGATATTGGTTTGGCGCCAAAACTTTGCGTGACGAAGCCTGGCGTCGTGCAAAGCTGTTTTGCGCGACGTAGGGTTACCTTCGTCGCTCAAAACAGCTTTGCACGATGCCAGGGTTCGTCGCGCAAAGTGTCGTTGCACAAAGTTAGTTTACGCGACGTTTTCTGTTTAGCGTCGTGCAAACATACTTTGAGCGACGAAATTTACTACGTCGCGCAAGTTTCCGTCGCGCAAACATGTTTTTGTACTAGTGATTATTGCTATTGGTCTATAGGCACATGTGTTGTTGTCCTTAAGCCTCATAGGGCACAAGTAACATTTTGTGCGCAGTGGTCATATTTTTTGTAGTGGCACCAAATTTATGCACTAAATTTGTACACCAAATAATGTGACATTACTCAAATTTGTGTGTTAATTCAAATTAAAATTTGATTGTTAATTGTAATAAAAGTCCATGTGGTGTAACATCATTTGGTGTCTCTAATATTATCTTATTTCAACTTTTGAATTTGATCTGGACTACACTTCAAAGTAATTAACCCTGTAAAAAATTGGATCTAAACATTTAAAAAATTGACAATTCTGGTGAGGAACAATACTAAAATCTAGGGGTGGTTCGATATGGGATCCCAAATCGAAAATGGGATCCCGAATCCCTAAAACGAAAATTTGAAGACCAATGCCAAACCGAAATTTCGGTATTCACAATTTCCGGGATTTCCAAAATGTTTTTGGTATTTCGGGATTGGATTTTGAGTTTTGGGCCCTTGGGTTTTTGGGTTGAAATTTGAGATTTTTTTAGATGTGGGCTTCTGGGCCTTTGACCTAAAATTTTATTTCCCAATTTCATATTAATTGAAATTTGGGTATTTTTACCTCATATTAGAAATTTCATACCAAGTCAAATTGATGTTCCAAAGTTCCAAACTACTTGATTTCATATTTCTATTTTTAATATAGTCTACTATCAAATTACTTAAATTCAACATATAACATGTATACAACCAAAATAAATAAATATATATATATATATTTTTTTTTTCGGTTCGGTTCAGGATTCCTATACCATTGATTATGGAATCCCGATTTCCGTACCAAAAGGTTCGTGATCGTTTTGGTATGGATTTAGAAAATTTCGGTATTATCAGTTTAGGAATTTTTAGGTATGAGATCAGGATTTTTTTGGTTTGGTTTGAGATTTTCGGAAAAATTTTCCAACCCTACTAAAATCTTGTCATACACGGGAGATAATTGCACAATGGTTCAATATCAGTGAACACTTTCTTAACATACTAGTCTCTCTGAAAGCACTCACACTCAAGGAGAACGCGCCCCTTAAGATACGTAGTGTTAGTTATTTTCTTTCTCATACAGACTTTTACTGCATTCATCTATGTGAAATATATTATGATTTGATACATTTGTGAAATATAGAGTATAAAATTTATTAAACTAACTGTATTATGATTAAATTCAACAACAATTGCATATATTTTCATAATAAGGGCACGCCTCTTATTATATTAAAGAGATACAAACAAATTTTGCATTAATCTGTCATCTCCTTCCACATTGCTTTGATATTTATCCTATCTAACACCCCACCAGCTATCAAATCAAAAGGTGAGAAACGAGTCTTGAGAAACGAACTTCTGCATATATAAAAAGGGTTATCTAGATTGATCCAAGCTGTGGTGGAAAAAAAGTCTTTGGATGGTGTAAAATTGGGAATCACTGGGCCTGTTCTTTCTCATATTTTCTTTGCTGATGATATGTTAATTTTTATGAGAGCTAATGAGAAAAATTGCAGGAATCTTGTAAACCTCCTTAGGGCGTTCTGTGATGCCTCGGGGCAGGAAGTTAACCTGCAAAAGTCCAGTGTTTTCTTTGGGGCGAATACTCCGGTGAGAGTTTCTAAAGAGCTGGGTTCTATTCTTGGCATGCCGGTTCTTGACAACCCAGGTACTTATTTGGGTGTCCCGGCTTTGTGGGGACGTTCAAAGAAACAGGGCCTCGCTTATGTGAAGGGACGAATTATTGAGAAACTTCAAGGGTGGAAACAATGTACCCTTACGAAGGCGGGCAAGGAAGTTCTCATCAAGGCGGTTGTCCAAGCTGTTCTTGCTTATCCAATGAATATTTTCAAATTTCCGGTTGTGGTCTATGAGGAGTTGGACACTTTGGTTGCTAGGTTTTGGTGGGGGAACAGGGGTGGCGACAATAAAATACACTAGGTGTCGAAGAAAGTATTGGGCCTCCCTAAGAATTTTGGGGGTTTGGGTTTACGAAATTTCATGGAGTTCAATGATGCGCTACAAGCTAAACAATGTTGGCGCCTTCTTAGTGACCCATCCTCTCTATGGGCTAGAGTGATGAAGGCCCATTACTTCCCCAATTGCTCTTTCTTGGAAGCCAAAAAATGGGGCAGGGCCTCTTGGGCGTGGAGTAGCCTTCTATCAGGTCGTGATCTGCTTATTCAGGGAACTCACTAGCAAATTATAGGAGGTCAGGATGTGAGAGTTTGGGTTGACCGCTGGTTACCCTCCATTCCTTTGGGGCATCCTTCTCCGCTTGGTGAGGTTATGGTGACTAGAAACCTTCGTGTTAGCTCTATTATTTGTCCGCAAACTTGTGATTGGGATATATCTTTTTTGCTTGCCTTCCTTTCAGTGGCTGATCAAGGGGCAATTGAAGGTACACCTATTAGAGATATTAGTAGAAAAGATAGATTGATTTGGGCTGCAACAAAAAATGGTCAGTACACGGTAAAATCTGGGTATAGATGGGTGCAATCTAGGTCTCTGAGTGCGAGAGATCATCGCCTACCTCATGTTCGATCTATCCCGGAGAAGCTGTGGAATTGTATATGGAAGATCGATGTTCCACCAAAGATCTGCCATTTTTTATAGAACTCTCTGCACAATATTCTGGCTACAAATGTGAATCTGTACAAGAGGCGGTCTACCACTTCCCCCACCTGTCCTATTTGCTTGTGCGATGATGAATCTGTTGAGCATTTGTTCTTTCTCTGTCCATGGGTTCAAGCCGTTTGGTTTGGTGGGTTTTTTAGTTATAAGATAAATAGGCTGGCTATTAACTCTTGGATTAGTTGGCTGCAAGCTATTTTTAATCCTAATATTGGTAATCATTTTGAGTTGTTATGGACTCAAAGAATGGTGGTGTACACTTGTTGGCATATTTGGAAGGCTAGGTGTGCTTTTGTGTTTGACAAGGTGTGAATTAACCCTTTAAATGTTGTTTTGGCCATATTTAATGCATTGGGGTCTTTCCTGGCTGTTTCTTGCGGCCCAGAGGTTGACCGGATTCGAGAGTGTGTCGGCCAGGTTCCAGGCCGTGCCCCCTTATGGTTTCCTCCTCCACCTCATTTTACTGAAATAAATGTTGATGCCAGCTGGTTCAAGATGTCGTGCTCGGGGTTTGTGGGAGTGGTTTTACGTGACGCTGAGGCATATTTCATTGCGGCTGCTCATTACCACATTCCGGCCCCCTGTGCTGCAGCTGCCGAAGCTATGGCTTTGCTGCGTGGATGTGAACTGGGTGCAACTTTGGGTTTTTCTAAGGTTATTCTGGAATCTGACTCTTCCGAGGCGATTTCTTGCCTTTCAAATTCTATTGAGAATGGCAGTTGGGAGGCTGTTCCTACTTTAGCAAGAGTGAAGCTCTTGGGGGAAGCCTTCCAGAACTGTCGCTGGTCTTGGGTCCCAAGATCAGCCCAATATGGCAACAGATGCTCTTACGTCGCGTGATTGTGCGGAGCTGTGTGATGTTGTTTGGGTCGATAGGCCACCATCTTCGCTTGTTTTTGTGTTAAACAATGATGGTCTTCCTTGTCCACATTAGCTGCAAGTGGTAGTGTGGGGGGTGACGCCTCAGCTTAGTTGATGCATCTCTGTATGTAACTCCTTACACTACCTTCCTACTTTATCTTGTCGTCTGTTTGCCTCTTCGTAGGCTCTCTTGTTTTCTTCGTTGGCCTCTA